GGCCACACGTCCACCGCTCCCCAGACACGACATCACACGCACAAGAGCCCGGCCACACGTCCACCGCTCCCCAGACTCGAACTGCCCCAGCGGCAGCGCCTCGGAAAACTCACACCAGCCGAGACGCAGGGCTGCTTTGCCAAGCGCCCCCGGGGTCCGCACGGAGAGACCTAGGAAACCCTGCTGCTGCCACCCGGGCACCGAGACAACAACACGGACAGCAGCAACAGGAACTCGGGAAACTGCGCCAGCAGCCGCGCCGTGGAGAGGACGCGGGTCTAAAGTGCGTGAGTCCAAGGTAGGAGCCCGGGTCTGCCCTGGGGGCAGGGGGCAGGGTGCAGGGGGAGCCCCGGACAGCCTCTCCGACTCACCTCCTTGATCCTCGCCCTCCTCTCCCTGGTCTCCGGCTCCGCCGGCTCCCGGCCGGTGGCTCCCGGGGGCCTCAGGTAGTCGATGTCGGGCAGCGGGTGGTCGCCGCCTGCCCTGCCGAGCCCGTCCCGCAGGACCCTCTCCTTGTCCTGCTGGATGTCCTGGCGGATCTCGTCCGGCCGCTTCTGCAGCGTGTCCTTCGCCTCCACCAGCGCCTTCTCGTGGTCCCGCCGGATCTTGGCCAACTTCTCGCCGTCGCTGCCCGGGGCGCCGGGGTCGCCGTCCGCAGCCGCCTCCGCCGGCGGGGAGGAGTGGAAGAGCACCCCGCTCAGCAGCTTGGAGGAGTCCGGCAGGAAGAAGATCGCGCCGAAGCACAGCGTGATGAAGGCGCTGAAGACCAGCAGCAGGATGAATTTCTCCGTGAGCCGAAAGGCGCTGGGGTTGGCGGACTTCCTACTCGGGGTAGCCGTGAACGGCAGCAGAGTTGCAGCTGGCATGGTCTCCTCCTCTGGCAAGTACTTCTAGAAGAGTGGGGGAGAAAAGATTAAATCGGTCCTCCGCCTGTGTGTTTCTGCTCTCCAGCAGCCGCGCTGAACTCTGCGCTCTCGTCCGTGTTTCAAACTTCTGCCAGGCGAAGCGCGCCGCGGCCGTCCCGCTCGGTCCCGGCTGCCCACGCTGGAGCCGCGCTGCTCTGTGAGCGGCCGCTCGCCGCCGCCGCCGCCGGGACCGAGCGGAAGGGCGCCGCGGCCGCGCCTGAGCGACAGCCCGGCCCGCCAATCGCCGCGCGTTCCGCGCAAGGCGGGCCGCGCGCAAGACAATAGTGGGCGCGGCTTCCGGGCTTCAAAATACGGGTGCTCGCTCACGCGAGCGGTAGTGCGGTGCGGAGTGGAACTCGCTAACTAGTTTCAAACGCTGCAATCATTAATATAGACAGCAGCTTAAAACTACCTTATATACACGTCTTGATCACGAATGAGGAGACGAGAAATACCTGTCCATGCACTTTTTTTTCTGTCGGGTTGGAGCTCAGCAGAGAGCACAGCGGGACCCTGAAGTTGTATCGCTGCCTTTTCTTCGGATTTTATTATAAAATAAATGAAGTCCCAGACCAGCCGGCACTGCACTCACCCCAGTCCCGACTGTGGTCGATTAGGAGCGTCTTTTCTCACCCCACTTCTCCGATGAGAAGATGAAAGTGGGTCCGAACAAACGCAGGAAGAAAATGTTTAAAGCTGAACACTTCTCTCCCGATCTGAACGGTTTTTGGGTGCCTTAATCGCAGTTTTCAGAATTAAAAAGAAAAGGATCTCCTTTAATAAAACATTAAATATGTCGAATAGATCAATAAAGTGAATCTCGATCTTGAAGTGACAGGATTTAGCTCCAGCTCAATCTTTTTCGTAGTTCCAGAGGTGCTCTACAGTCACATAATTATATCCTCTAGATCGCGTAATATGGACGTTGTTTTACATAGATTTATCTTATTTTTAGTTCAATTAAATGGAAAGCAATGTTAAACATGAGTATGTTAAATAAAATCGGGTTCAACGGGAAATATTTAGTAGTTAGGAGTGCATAAGGCTAGTAAATTCTGCACAAAAACATTCAAAACCCTATTTTTGAATGAATCCAGTATTGCAGCACAATGAGCCTTTCTTGGTCCACGAGAGACACGGGGTTTTACCATCAAGCTCTTCGTGAGTGAGTTGACTCAGTCAGGCACAACTGGTGTTAGCTTCCTCTGTTTACAAGCCTCTGAGGAGTTACGTTTACTGTACCAGAAACGTGTGACTGCGACCCACCCAGAGACGGCACCGATTGTCATTGTCGTGTTTTTCCCTTTTCCTCGTCTCTGGTCACATGGCCGGGGCTCTGAGCGTGTTCAGGAAGACGGGCGGGCTGTGCGCTGTCCCTTGGTGCTGTGTTCCTGGCCGTCACGGTGTGGGATTATCAAACGGAAATAAAACTTGGTCTCTGACCTCAAATATTCTGTCTGAAAATATGCCATTACAGTTATGCCATCATACGTTTAAACAGCTAGATTATTTAATTAAATGTCTCAGCATGATAGGTTTCAAATTATGAAAATACTGGCAATCATGCCTTTATTGCTTATAGTATGTTATTTTCTGTTGACAACAATCTGTCATCTATACTTTTCCCGTTAGAAAGTAAAACAAAAACAATGACCTTGATAAATTAGATCTCGGCAGATTCCATCCACGATGTCTGAGCTTTTGAGCGCTGTTCACAGCAGGTCTTTTCCCAGTCCACTGCGTAAACCATATTCAGTGAGTAGTACCGTTATTTTCTTCAATATTACCATAGTTAGAATTATGAATATAAATCAGTTTGATTTATGTGATCTTAAGAGATATCGGTTGTGTAAATTTAATTTTACGGAGCTACATTTGCATGTGCTATTAAGATGTGAACTGATAAGAGAGAAGTACTTGCTGGAATAAACCACAATTTTTAATTCATGTTACATTAACATAATTACTTTCTGTTATCATCCGGTGAAAACTGGTTTGTTTCATTATGGAAAGCGACTACGTAGCGTAAAGCATTCTCTGAAGTTTTTTTTTCTGAAAAAATAAAATGACTTTAAAGTTGGATGCTTTTAAATGGGCTGTTTAGAATGTTTCAGTGATGAGTTTCAGAAATATATGAACTCATTAGTCTTGTGCGGCAGCATCGCACAAGAGCACCTCTAGATTCTGGTTCTGTCGGGTGTGTTTGGCTGGAGACAGCCGAGGACGCCGGTTTGAATTTGCAATCCGTCGGGACACACGTGGAGCTGTATGAAGAGCATGAAAGAGCTCTGTTCGGCTGCATTCAGGCCGTTCCTTCAGGGCACAACGTGCAAGGTGGCTTTTTGGTTGCTTTTGAGTTTAGCAGGTCAGTTGTGAAGTATCTGTCGATCTACAGGAGGTTTTTTATAGAGCAGCAGTGAAGAGCGACGGTACACAAGGTTGGGGGAGGCAGTCAGAGGACTCGGGCTGTTAAAGACAGCAGCGCTTCTGTAAGGGTCAGACACGTGACGAGCTCTGTGACATTCTGCATTTTGTATTCATTCAACCTGTAATATTATTTTCCTTTTAAGACTCACTCGCATGATCATTGGAAATTAACTACAGTCCACATGAAACTCACCTTTTAGCTTCCAGTTAATTTGAGAGACTTAAGAAATGCAGTCCCAGGATATTTTGCTTCCATTGTCTGATTGAAAGAGTCCTGGAAAAGCTGACATGTGATTTGACAGTGGGGAGAAGGATTTCTTGCTGGGATAAAGGATTATCTGTCCAGAGCTGATAATGCAAAGGTCATGGTATCAGTACTTCAGAAGAAGCAGAAAACCTCACTTTACTGTTAAGAATTTCAGAGAGTTAATTACTTGATGGTCACGTCCTTTCTTATGGACTCTGGATCACATAAATTAGAGAAGGTTGCTAATTCTAGCCTCAGCCTCGATTGAAGTGCCAGAGCTACCGACGGGCAGGCGATGGTCTCTTCCTTCGCTCCACTCCACTTCTGCTGTCAGTTCATTGAATTAGTTAACCATGAGGCAAAACTGTATTCCAAAGAGTCTAAAAACCGGATATTGAAAGCACACTAAACACCCTCCCTTGTTTCCAAACAGTCTGTTAATGTGAAATTTGTGAGATGGAGGCATTATGTTCATCTTGGCACACAGCTACTGTTTTTATGCATATCCACAGTCTGAGTAGCACTGGACAATATTCTTGCTAGCTATGCTATGTGCTTATCTGGGTCATCAGAGACGATATGCAGAAAAGAATATCAGATGGACTTCCCTTGAGTACAGTGTGTGACTTCAGGCATTTCTTAAATACAATCATAGTGAATATATACACTTTGATGGATATTCATCTTTTACGATTTATTAACTTCACGGCAATTAAAAGAACAAGAAAACATAAGAAGGTATTTTTAAATATGTTTATCTAACACATGGGAATAAATAATTTAAGTGTAACTATAAAATAAGCACATGCCTGTTTCTCTTTTGAAGAAGGGCTAAAAGTCAGTGTTAGAGAAAATCCACATCTGAATGCATATCATTTTGTAAATAAGCAGTTATAAGCATATCTACTTAGTATGGTTGGTGAAACTGAGACTTAATGTTTGCCTTGTTGAGCTCAATCAAATAACAAAACAAATGTTACTCTAAGTGGGGCATGCAATACATAAGTTTTGTCCCTGGCTGTCTCTTTAGACACAGTCCAAATATAACTTCTGTGTAATCAGATTCTACCACCACTGCAGTGCCTACAGGCCAGAAGGGCCAGTTGTGTTCACTGCAGCCTGAGCAGAAAAAATCAGAGAGGAAGGAGCATCTTTATGGGACCTGAAGGGAATCCTAGCCAGTACAGCACTACACCGCATATCAATAAAAGCATGATCCATAATTACAGAGGCAACTCTCTGGCACTCCAAAATGTGTCTGCTTATGATGACATTGTCTCAAACTTCAAATGCTATGCAATGTTATATTTTAGCAAAAGCTTAAAGCAACTTAGCTGTGGATTAATAGCAGTTAGTCAATACATTTTTAGTTGCAGCAAAAGGTACTTTTGCTGTAACAGTGTTACAGTGCACACTGAAGAAAACATGAATCATGCTACATTCAGTTGTCTATACACCAGAATACAACTACAAAATGTTACAAATTCATGTTGGTGAATTATTTTCCTTTATATTGGGAATTAAAATAGTATTGCCTGGGTTAAAGATACATCCAATAAGTTGACGTCCTGAGAATGTGAGATTTTTGAAAATTTGAATGCACAGATATTATATACAGATAATATACAGATATATTCACAACCTTACTTTGATTGCTTATATCTTTTTGATGCCACACCCTTTTGTATTCCTATAGTATTTTTAAGCACATGATTGTAATATTATATTAAATACTGTGGAAAACCTAAAATATGTGAAGTCATGTTTTTACTACATCTTTCATGAAGTACACACATCTAAAGGTTTCTGGGTCTTTTCTGCTCTGCTGTGCTTGAAAAGCTTATCGGAAGTGTTGCTCCTTCAGGATTTAATGAGGTTTCTTTGGAAAAAATAAAAGATAGCAAACATAAGCCTAAATGTGAAAATGTTCTCCACAGAGAGCTGAAATGGTGTTATAGCACATTTTACATGCACGTCTCACAGATACAGATTTGGAGTCCACAAAATATAATGTTTCTCTTTCTTCAAACAAAAAGGGAGAGCTACTTCCTTACTGTGATTCATTAGCATCATTATTAATTTTTAATTCTGTGCATTTCTAGTGTGTAGCTATTACAGCACAAATCAGCGATGTTCTGCAGTCTGTTATCAGAGGAGTAATAAGAACTGGGTGTCTACTGCTTTGATTCACAACTGTTTGTTGATTTTCCAGATTGGAGTAGGTCCAGAAACAATTTAAAACAAATTTAAAGAAAACAAATGAAGAGATGATTTTTCCTGTGGTTCTGGGGGTTGGTATTCTATGTCTCTTTAAAGCAGCAGTACAGTAAGTGAAGAGGGGGGGGAGGTTACTCAAGAGATCCCACTAAGCGACTGGATCTTGGCTGACGAAGGCTGAGTTTAACTTTCATTCAGCTGAAGTGGAAACCTGCAAACTCATGGCCCTTCAGGGCCCAGACTGCTCACGCCTGGTCTAGGGAGCCACTGGGACAATCACGCTATATTATGTTTGTCCTAACAAAACAACATGGGGTCTCCATTGAGAGGCTACAGGTCTGGTAAGAAAACATCTGTCTTATTCCTTAAACAGTGAAGTCTGTGAGGTCTGTTCTGAGGTTGCCACAACTGACAGCCTATAACAATTGCATTGAGCAAGAGGAAAACGTCACTAATAAAACTGTCAAAAGACCCTCGATGGCACGGTCTAGAGGTAAACCTGCACTTGATTACAGTATGAATGGGTAAGAAGATGACAGATTTATTAAATTAGCCTTAAATTAAACGTGAAAAGCCATATTAAAATCTAATATGCTACATGACTTAAATCTTAAGCTCGTGATATTTTTTACTGTAGATCTGATACATTTTTAATTTTGTGTGAACTGCTGATATGACACACAATCCCCCTTGTCTCAGGATTTTCATCTTTTCTGACAGCTTCAATTCTGCACATTTTTCTAACGTACCAACCTTATTTTTATTCCTCAGAAGATTTGCTTAAAAAATGTGTCTTTTTCACAAAATGTTTACAGAATTAGTTTTTAAACGGAGCACAAAACTATATCAGATTTGTAGTCCCACCTGTACTTTTCTATCATTTCTTTTTCATAGTTTTGAATTACGTAATCACATGTAATGTTTGAAAGTTGCTGCTGTGCCATCAATGCCAGTTAGTCTTGATACCAATCTGAATCAGAACAACTTCAGGAACGCCTGGTCTGTGGACAGAGGTAGTTTGTGAACTGGTGGCAGATGTTCAACAGAAGGAGTGCACACAGTCTGTGCAATGCCAATCAGCACAAGGACGCCACTATAGAAATGTGTTGGGCTCACCCCACCCCTGTGAAAACATCCCATTGATGAGTTCTGACTTATTGCACCAAGTGGCCATCACTGAGTTGTGCTCTTGGGATGGCGATTGCTGGAATGTCACAACAGTTGTTTTCCTGTTGTCGTGATTCT